GCACTATTATTATCATCATCCTGATTTTATAGATAATAAAACTGAGGCATGGAGTAGATGAGTAATTTGCTCAAGGTTGACTGGGTAGTAAGTGATAGAATCAGGATTCAAACCCAGGTGGTCTAGCCTTGGAGTCCACATGCTTAACTCCTACTCTCTGTGGCCATGTTCCTGCAATGCAGCCCCATGTCCGATGCCAAGGCTGATGGGTGAAATACCTGGTAGGATGTTGAAGGGAGGGGCATGCCATCTATACCCTTTTTCTCCATCTCTCAAAGCTGGGAGACGCATATGGTGGTGAGTCATTTTGAACAAAGCAGATGAAAACAATTCATAAAATTTATCAAATCAAAAAACAGGAGGAATCTGGGTCCCCAACATGATGAAACCCCTTTATCAGTCCTTGACTGCGTAGGGGAGAAAAAAAACAAAATCTGCTTGGCTTACACCTCTATTATTTTGGTCCTTAATTACAACAAATGAATCCATATCTATAATGACACAGTGGGCAAGGTCAATCTGGATAGCCAAGGTTTGCCAGCAACACAGCCAACTGCCACTAGCTCAGAAGTTCTGTCTTCAGCTTTAGCATGCCAAGGGCCTAACTCTGTGTGAGGCTGGGCTTTCTGAAGACTCCTGCACTGCCAAGCTGTACAAACCAGACTCACGGGATAGAAGTGGGGAGGGGCCCGTCTCCACAACAACCAGGCAGTGATGTTTATATTTATGTAGACTCATAAATGCTCCCATAGTTTTTATGAGCATAAAACAGAAAATTATCAGACCAGAGCAGAGCTTCCTCAGCAAAGAGCTGACACCCCAACAAAAGGCCTCACCTCGCAAAACAGGGTGTGTGTCTTCTTGGAGACTTTAAGATCATAGGAGAAACTAGATAGGCCATCTAATCTGATCTGAAGGCTGGGAAAGAGAAGAGGAGAGAGAGGTGAAGGAGACCAAAGCTGAGTCAAAAGGTTGGAACATGATGGTTTGGGAGGTACAATGAAGGATTCAAAGTGTTTTTCAAACCGTTTTTAAATTGAAAAATCAATGTAATAGTGAAGTGGTTTTTTTTTTCTTCTTCATAGAGAGGGATCTCGCTTTGTTGCTCAGGCTGGTCTCAAACTCCTCTGCTCAAGGAATCCTTTTGTCTCAGCCTCCCAGAGTGCTCGGTTCATAAGCATGAGCTGCTCTGCCTAGACAGCAGTAAAGAAATTTTTAAGCCTCTATAATTTTGTAAATCCTTAATAGAGCTTTAAAAAGTGGTTTCCATATTTATTTTTATATCCATACTTATCAAGCTTATCTAAAAATATATTCAACTTTTTGACTTCTAATTATACTTATCTATATTTCTATATATCTATTGCAATTGTTAGGAAAGTCAATCTCACAAAATTTCAATTTCCTCATCTTTAAAATGGGGCTAATTTTATCTAGAGGAGTTGTAATAAAGCTTAGTAAAGAGGGTCAAACACTTAGCAGGATGCCTGCCAAAGAGTATGAACAGAGGCCTCCTTTTTCTTTCAAGAGTAAGATAAAGTTTCCCCAAAACTCCCCATTCAAGGCTTCTCTCTTCCTTCATACTCTGTGCTCATAAGGTACTTCTTGCTTGTTCACATTAAACCAGTAAATATGTGACTTAAATGAAGGTCTGAATACATAAATAAATTGTAGTAGAGTCATTTGATGGAATATTATACAGCAATAAAAAAGAACAAACTACCACCATACACAAAATACAGATGCAGCTCCCAGTAAAAATGTTGGGTGAAAGACATTAGACACAAAATAATACATATTCTGTGATCTCTTTATATAAAGTTCCAAAGCCAGAAAAACTGATCTATGGTGATATATGTTAGAACCGTGGTTACCTCCTGGGGGAGATGACTGAGAGGGGACATCAGGGCAGCTTCTGGGGTTCAAGTAATGTCCTATATCTTGATCTGGGAGGTGGTTATTGGGTGTGTTTACTCTGTGAAAATGCATCACACAGTTCATCCCTGATTGGTGCAGTTTATTATATGGTATATTTCAGCTGGAAAGTTTCTTTCCAAAGTGAAAATTTGGGGTATCACAGGAAAAAACACTAACACAGGTTGCCTGGCTTGCCCTGATCACTACAGCCCGATTCTCTGCCATCTCCTCTCTAGCATCCAAGCACATTTTTTCTTTTTCTCAGGTAGGCAGTTTTCCCAATACTTAGGGTCTTAGGAAAGCTCAGAGTCTCTTCTTAGGCATCACATCAAGGAATTTCTTCCCCAAAAAAGTTCTCTTTGCATTTATGTCATTGCGATGAACTCCTTTATGTGTGTGTATTTTTTATTTCAATGAACTTTCCAGAGTGAGAATCCATCCTTATGACTTTGTATTCATATGACTGCTTTGCTTTCTAAGATGGCTGTACCCAGTCACAAACCCTGAAGGCAATTTATTCACACCCAACACTTAGTTTTCTCTGGTGTGAGAACCAGGAGAAAAGTCCAGTCCTGAGGGCGCTGGTCTGGCTACTCTTGGGCCCCATGTCTGCAGAGAAAGTTCCCCCAAAGTGATGATACTTCTCAAGTACATGAGGTGCTTGTTCATCTCAAACATGTCATCACCCACATTTATGCATTCCAGACATGAAGTGTCTACTTGGGGCCTGGCATGGGCTGTGCCCTGGGATGAGCATGGCAGTGGTGCATAACCAGCATGGTGATCCCTGGCCTCTGGCAACGTGACCTGTGGATGACGAGTCCACTCACAGGGCAATGGCTTACACAGACAAGAGAATCCTCAGCTGCCCTGTGGCCATCCCATCATTAGAGAAGATCTGCCAGACTAAAAAAGGAGTCTAGAATCACAAGCATCACTGTTAGAGAGGGTGAGTTACTTCCTGGCAAATGAATTCCAAGAGGCTCTGCCCCTTTTCTCTTAGTAACAATTCAAAATTCTCAGGAAAGATTGTGATTGGCCCTTCTTGGGTTATCTGCTCATCTCCAAAACCAATCACTGAAGCCAGGATAGTGGAATGATATAAGGAACAGCTTCCATGTGGACCTCATAGTTCTTAGAGAAGGAAGAGTGGCACCCCAAAAGAAGGGGGCATTTCCCAGTGGGAAAGAGAAGTGTTAGACATACAAAACAAAAAACTGTTTTTAAGGAAGGGTGAGCACAAGTGTGAGCACATGCTTGCATGCCCAGAGAGGTAGACTCTGTCTTGGGTTACCCCAGAAAGAAGGGGAATTGCAATTGTTAGGAAAGCCACTTAATCTCACAAAATCTCAATTTTCTCATCTTTAAAGTGGGGCTAATTATACCTAGAGGACTAGTGACCCTAAGATAGAAATTTGAGTGAAGTTTCTTTGGTAGTGGATCCCAGGCAACACCAACCTAGAAGTGGAGAAGGGAAAATTGTCAGTGAAAGGGACATGCTTGAGCCGGTTGCCACCGAGGGGAGCTGGGGCTTAATCCTGCTGCAGAACTCTGGGAGTCAATGCAAGACAGTAACCCCAGGGTTATCTCACCTGAGAGCTGCTTCTACATCAACCACCACCAATCACTGGTTGACGACTCCTCCAGGGACTGGGGAGCGTTAATTGTTAATTCTCTGAAACTTCTGCCCATTGGGCGCTCAGACAGTGCAGGCTCCAGCTGCCAGAGAAAGCCCTCATGCAGTTGGAGGCCTGGCTGGTGTTCATACAGTGGTAAGGCACAGGGAATGTTGCTGGAACACTGACAGTGTCTGTTTCATACATGCCTGTGTTCCAGGGGAGAGACAATTGTGGGCGGCCCTATATCTTTATATTTAGCAGCAAGGGGATAAGGAACTTGTGTAACCTCTCAGGGTTCATGGGAATGAGGCTCAGGTGATGATGGCTCAGGAGGGAGAGCTTTATCTGCAGATCTATCGTTTTCATCGGGGAAGCGACTTTTAGTGCTAGGGAGGGCTGCTGGGTGCATGACCATGAAGAGGGTGTTTTTGAGGACAGTCACATGTGTGGAGCATACTTGTTAGTTTCTTTCCCTACAAGATGCAAACCTAACCCTGGCCTGGCCAATCAGTACATTTTTACCCCCTACCCATAGCACCTGGTTCAAAGATGGACTTGTGGCCCCAATCAGTAAAATTCAGTTAATCCTAGAATGTTTGTTGGAGTGGTCAGGAAAAGATCTCTCTTTCTGTAGCAGAAAGAAATGGGAGACTGTTAGCATGTGGCTATGGAGGTCACCCTGTAAAAAGAGCCTGCCTGAAGAAAGGTCACAGGAAAAACAAAAGAGCCCAGGCTGGAGAGAGTGAGGGCTGGTGACAGCCCATGAACTGCTAGATCCAGCTGTGCCTGAAACCCACAAGATCCACCCTTTGACTGTTAAGATATGGGTGTTAAAATGAATTTTACTGAAGCAAATTTTGTTGGTTTCCTGTCAGTTGTTCCTGGAAGAATCCTGGAAATACAAGATGTGAACTTGCAAGGCAGTAAGATTTCCAGGCAAGCCCTGGCTGAAGGAACCGGGAGAAGTGTCAATTGCTCTTATGTTTCTAAGAACTAATTTCCTGGTGCTGTGAAGAGCAGCTATGAGCATCTTAAGGGTTACCAAGGAAACAGGAACAGTCCTTAGAAGTGAGTTTAAGGCTTTCCGTCTTTATTTCTGGCAGATAATTGACAGTACTCTTGCTCAATAAAATCTACATTGGCTGGTTAAAAAAAGAAAGTGACCATAGCACTTTCCCATTAATTATTAGTCCATGATAGATTTAGCCAGACTTTTCTCTGCCTCTTACAAAGCCAATTAGGATGATATCAGAGAAGATCTCATAATTGTAGCTAACATTTTTGAGCACTTGTGTGTCTGGCAGAGCTCTAAAATGCTGCATATACGTAAATTCATTTAGCCCTCACAGTTGAACAACCTACATGGCAGGCACCATTATTACCTCTGTTGTATAGATGAGGAAGCTGAAGCACAGAGGTTAAGTCACTTCCACAAAGTCACACAGTTAGTACATATTGGAATGAGGATTCAAGCCCAGACCTTCTGAATTTAGAGACTACATTCTTTTCTCATCACCATCCCCCACCAGGAGAAAGGGGAAAAAAGCCCTACTTTTCATTAATCTGATGACACAAGCCAAGCATGTCCCTAAGCTACTTCCACAGGTGCAACGAGCACTGTTTCTCTCAGGATGAGATAGGCTGGGAGCAGACAGGCATGCTGGGGGCGGGAGCTGCTTTGTGAAATGAGTTGGAAATACATTCCTGGGGAATGTGGGGTCTAGCTACTGCTCAGTGACCCCTTTCCTGGTCCCCTTCTTTCTCCCTTTCCACAGTGGCCATACCAAAGTTCCCTTTGTCTTCGATTCCCATGTCCCCCAGTCTCAGCTAATGGTCTCATCACCCCCTGCACCAAGAATACAGGGGCCATGGGGCATAACCCCTTCAACTGTCTGCTCCTATAAACTTACCAGTATCTCCAAGCAATCTTGGGTTCTTCCATTCAAACTCAGAGGATGTGTTCCTCATCTCAGCCATGACTTTCCCCCTGATCCTGTTGCCTGCTGTCTTGGAGACCCCCGGGCCTGGTTATTTTATCTCTGCCCTGGCTCCTGGTCTTCAACCAATAAGCCTGTCCAAGTCCCTCCTAACCTAAAAAAATAAAATAAAATCCAGTTATGAACTGAATTCTCTATGGTGTTTGAAGCCCCTTTCTCCTTTTGTAAGCCTAAGCAGTTGAGTATGGTGGTAAAGGATGCTGCTCAGGAGACAGACTGCTTGGGTTCAAATCCCAGCTGCTACCTGTGTGACCTTGGGCAATGAGCAAGTGCCACTCTGAGTGCCACTTTCCTCAGCTATACAATGGTGGTGATAATGCTCTCTACCTGCTAGGGCAATTTAAAGATTAAATGAGAGGATAAGTAGAAGGCCAGACATCTGAATGTGCCACGCATTCCCTCTTTGTTCATCACCGACCACCTTCCTTGGTGCTGACTTTAGAGCCCCCAGATAACCTTTGCAGAATTATCTGCCCCTCTTAGCAGTGATAAGGGAGTAAGGGAGTACAAGCCCTAGCAAGAGAAAATGTGCACCCCAGTGCCCTTGGCATCAGTCAGTCAAGTCCTATTCTCATTCATACTGTTTGACCTGCAGTCAGACTCTGAGGTCTGACCATTTTGGGGCATGGACAAGATCAGATTCCTGGGCCTGCAAAGGGTAGCTGGTGCTTACCCTGAGAAGCCCTGCCTGCCTGAGGAGCTGGCGATCTAGGGAACCTGTCCTGAATGAGGGAGAAGGAAGCATCAAGAACAATCCCCAGGTTTCTGCTTTGGGTGCCTGAAGAACTCATAGGCAGAGGGGCAGACCTGGGGAAAGGGGCCTTCTATGCAGCGTAGTGCTGGAGAAATGGAGAGGTCCGGGCAGCAGTTGTGTGTCACACAGGGTGCAGCTGTGGTGCCATCAGCATGTGGACATGAGGAGGCCCTGCTTCCTGTTGCTTTCTCCCCTTTGCTGCACGTAGCTGCATTTCCTCAATTCAAATCAAGGCAAAATTTTCCATTTCTGATGACTGTCGTTGTGTTTGCTTCCGCCATCTCAACCTGAGACCCACTTACCTTTTCAGCTTGACATTTCTTGGACCACCTTGAAGGTGTGAATTCAGACCTCAGACTAGCATGAGGACCAGCCCGTGGTCCACATTCTGAGAGAATGTTATTTTCTTCCCTCCACCTAGTGCCTGGCAGGTGAGGCTTTCAGGTTTCCTTGCTGGCCTGGCAGCTGGGTGAGTTCATTCCTTGTTGAGTCTTCCACTGAGAGTGTAGCTCTTTGGTGTCCTACACCCCCTCCCACCCCCCGACCTTGACTGATTTTCTTTCTTAGAGAGTATGTAGAGTAACAGCGGGTCTTAAATCAAGTACCTTAGATTAGATGGCACGCTGTACCTTCCTAAACACAGAGATTTGATCTTGTTTTTCCCTACTGAAAGCGTTAGTGATTTTCTTTTGCTTGGAGTGTGAAGGCCAACCCCATGGCCATGAATACAGGGCCCATTCTTCTCTCTCATCTCCTGACACTTCCCCCTCCTACCATACCCCATGCCCAGGAACCTCAGGTCCGCTGACACCATATGACAGTGATTACCCAGCGTTGCTGCAGGGGCCACTTTGGAGGGTAACATGGGATGATGCAGGGAGCCTCTGCCTCAGAACTTACAATCAACCTGCATCCAGAGCTCCCCGCCCCGTCTCCTCCTTATGGCTCATATTTTGTTTTCTAATAAGGAAAAAAGGTAAATTTTTCAGATTTTAGTTTGCAAATGTAGAACTTTTTGAGAAAAAAAGGCAAAGTAGGATTAAATTTGAGCAATAAAAAAAGTATGTTTTGGGAAAATGATAATATTTTATAGATGTACGAGTATTGCTTGGGATATAGACATTTTCAAACCCACGCTTAAATGGTGTCTAAATTTTTAATAGAAGAGTTTATTTTAATAAATGTAATACCAAGTTCAAGCACCAGCATTCTACGATGAACAAACTTTATTCATTTTCATTTTTGATATTTCACTTTTTATTTTGAAATAATTATAGATTTACAGGAAATTGCAAAAAAAGTGAGCTTCAGGGTACCTCTGAGATTTGTTCTGTTTTTATTTTTATATTTTTGAAACAAGGTCTCACTCTGTTGCCCAGGCTGGAGTGCAGTGGCACAGTATTAGCTCATTGCAGTTTCCGCCTCCTGGGTTCAAGCAATTCTCCTGCCTCAGTCTCCAGAGTAGCTGGGATTACAGGTGTACACCACCATGCCTAGCTTTTTTTTTTTGTATTTTTAGTAGAGACAGGATTTTGCCATGTTAGTAAGGCTGGTCTTGATCTCCTCGCCTCAAGTGATCTGCCCACCTTGGCCTGCCAAAGTGCTGGGATCTCAGGCATGAACCACCATTCCTGGCCAAGAGTTTATCTTAACAGAGGCTACAATAGTAACCACTATAAGAAGATATGTCTCTAACATAGAAAAGTTCAAAGAAAACTTAATAAAGAAGCTTTTATGCATTTTATGACTCCCATTAAATAAACTTGATATTGAAACTTCTCCATACTCACTTCTGTTACCTCCCACTTCCCCCAGGGCTGATGAGAGACTAATAATTCACTAGATTATTAAAATTAAATATCACATCTCTAATAAATGAAAATTAACTAATTAATTCTAATGCTATTCTAGAGGAATTGGGGGCAAAGTGTATCTGGAAACCTGTTATTTTAGAGAAAGAGCTTACACACCTGGGTTGTGTGAATTTTCTGCCCCCGCCTCTAGGGTCTGGTGGGATGGAGGCTAACCAGGTATTTCTTCCTCCATGAAGTCTGCACTAGAACTTCTTTCTCCTGAATCTCATCTGGGTTCCCCAGGCTAGCACAGTAAATCTTCTCAACTATGTTAGAATTAATTTTGTATGTTGGTCTCTTAGTAGAGTATGGGAAAGGCATTAAGTATAGAGGGGAAGTTGGTGCCTTCCTTCCTTCCTTCCTTCCTTCCTTCCTTCCTTCCTTCCTTCCTTCCTTCCTTCCTTCCTTCCTTCCTTCTTTCCCTCCCTCCCTCCCTCCTTCCTTCCTTCTTTCTTTTTTTTTTTTTTTTGACAGAGTTTCACTCTTGGCCCCCAGGCTGGAGTGCAATGGCTCGATCTTGGCTCACTCAACTTCTGCCTCCCAGGTTCAAGCAATTCTCCCACCTCAGCCTCCTAAGTAGCTGGGATTACAGGTGCATGCCACCGCCACCATGCCCAGCTAATTTTTTTTTTGTATTTTGGTAGAGACAGCGTTTCACCATGTTGGCCTGGCTGGTCTTGTACTTCTGACCTCAGGTGATCCACCTTCTTCGGCCTCGCAAAGTGCTGGGATTACAGGCGTGAGCCACCATGCCTCACCATGAGAAAATTTTAGCCAAAAAAAAAAAAAAAAAAAGTATCTCAAGTCCCATCTACTCCACTCATCCTTTTGAGACTCAAACTTCTCATCTGTAAAATGAGTACAACCTAGTGCTGAGGAGCTACAGCAGAAAATGCCTGTGCCTGTCATTTAGCACAAGGAAAGACATGATTAAGATTACTGTTAGTGAAAAGAAAAAAAAATGTTATTTTAAAAATTGCAATTGTTTGAATAAATAAATGCCTTCAGGAGAATGAGAGACTTCTCTTAGAGAGAGAACTGTCCTTTTGCCTAACAAAATGCTTTGCTTTCATTCCCCCACTCGGTTGTAAAAGTTGAGGCCCTGGCCAAGTGTGGTGGCTCACGCCTGTAATTCCATCACTTTGGGAGGCAGAGGAAGTTTCATCACCTGAGCTCAGGAGTTCAAGGCCAGCCTGACCAACATGGTGAAACCCTGTCTCTACTAAAAATACAAAATATTAGCCAGGTGTGGTGGTACACCCCTATAGTCCCAGCACCTCTGGAGGCTGAGGCAAAAGAATCGCTTGAACCTGGGAGATGGAGGTTACAGTGAGCTGAGATCATACCACTGCACTCCATCCTGGGCAGAGTGCCGTCTCAAAAAAAAAAAAAAGTTGAGGCCTACCCACAACATGCTTTAGAAGAAAAAGAATGAACTAAGTATAAAACAATAATAATAACAAAGTAAAATACATCCCTTCCTTTTCTTCTTCTTTTTCTGGTACCTTCTCTTTCTTTCCTGAGCCATTTGATCTTGAGGTCATCAGTGAGTGGGGTGAGGTAGGAGTCCACAGTGAGGGGCTCTCAGTGGCTGGGAACAGTGTCTTCAAGCCCCAGTGGGGTAAGGAGGGTGTCTGCATGGAAGGATAGCCCCAAGCCCGGTGTCAGAATATGCATATGGTGAGCAGGACATCCAGATGGGAAAGAGGATGGTGGTAGAGACAGAAGACTGATTACAAACGAGGATGGATCAACTTAGCTGTGAAAGCAAATCTCCAGACCCCAATTCACTATGCCAAAAGGAACAAATTAAGCTGAAAGCTGAGTCATGCAAGAAGCCACCTTTCCTTTTGTTCCTAAGTATACTACAGATAAAAGATTAACTATCTCCACAGGTAGCTGCTCTATTTTCACCTTATCTTAAGTAAAGTGCAGATTTACTGAGGGCAAGATGAATGCAGAATTGACTATTCCCCTACCTGCTCCTTTTCTCTTGCAACAGATAGCCTCAGTAATGTGACCCTACCCTCCCTCTGGCCCCTCCAACGGCTTTTCCTCTTTAAGTATTTGAAGTTCTCAAAATCACCTTTGGAAAAAGGCAGGACCACAGGTTGTTCCTGTGGATTTATGTTTCTTTTTCCAGGGCATGTCCTTGACCTTGGCAAAATAGACCTCTAAATTGATTGAGAACTGCCTCAGATACTTTTTGGTTTACAAAGCAAATACATTAAGGGTAGTGGATGCCACTGTCAGGAAAGGGAGTTACAAATGGGAAAGAGAGAAAACAAAGCTGGTGGTGGTTGGACTGGAATTGTAGACATCAATGTGGACTCACAGTTTTCCATATATATAGATTTATGAACAAAAACAAACATACATGTGTATATATGTGGAGAGAGAGATTGCTAAACAGTATTTCATGGTATGAATATATAATACCACAATTGTTTATCCATCCTGTTAATAGGCATTTACGTTATTTCCAGT